CGATAACTTCCTTGCCTATGTGGGGACCACACCAGCAGGATATTATAGCACACCTTCCACCATGACATCAGGGGCTCCGGGTCCACTCCTTCGCCTGAAGACCGGCACGGAGTCGGCCACGCCAGCTGTCAATGGGGTTATTGCCCGCAATCTGTTGCGCCTCGGGAGCCTGTTGGAAGACGAGGAATACAAGACGCTTGCCCGGCAAACATGCCGCTCATTTTCCGTGGAGATACTTCAACACCCCTTCCTCTTTGTTGGGCTTTTGGACGCTATTGTTGGATTGGAAACGGGGACACGGAATGTCACGGGTGTCTTCGCTACCGCCGTGACCGAGGGCAGTGTCCAAGCTTCTGAGGGCGTGATCAGAAAGACAGATGAGCCAGTCTGTGTGCGGGACATGATTGTACAGAAGATTCGGGCGGAAGCCGGGTTGGCGATATCGACGGCGACCACGACCGCATCTCTTGTGGATATCCGAGCGTCTCATGTGGGAGACTTTGTAGGGAATCAATCTTTCTGGTTACGGACGCGAAATCCGTTGTATAGGGAACTGAAAGCGTCTGAGACGGCGAAGAATCATCTCATGGTTTGTGAAAGTGGGCGATGCCGGGTTGTGAATATAGTATGAACTGTACAATGAATGGAAATATTCTTAGTGTATTTTCAGGCCTTGCAGGATGTTTCAGCTCTACAGCTATTGTATGTAATCAGTCAACAGATTGATACGATTTTCTAGGGATGATCCCGATAGTTAGCGCTCTACATAGTCCAGCTTGTGTATGACAAACACAGGGTTAGTAGCAGTAGCCCAGTCTCAGCCTCAATGCAAATAACTCAGTCAAAACCCCAATAAGCGATACGCTTGAGCATCGTTCCACCGCATCAAGTCACACAGCAACAGATCTGTTTGGTTCATTGGGTTGCTTTGCTTACTACTTACAAAGAGGGGGTGACACAAAATTTGGGTTTGAGGGAGGGGTACAAAGTTATGTGCAATTGTTTCCAATTCTTTGTTTTGAGTCTGAGTTTCAGTTTCATCGGCTGTTTCAACCATACGTACGTTATTGCTGGGGTTCCTTCTTTTTTCTCTTTTCCGCTTGGGTGTGATGATCTGAACTCGTCAGTTGAGATCGAGATCCGGGTTGGTTGGTTGGCTGGTTGCCTGCTGAGGGTTGGAGGGATGTCATGTGGTTTGATTGGTTGGGGATGGAAATTACTTTGAAATTTACTTTGAATGGGAAGTACAGTAGGTGCTGGGCTGTGATCTGTGATCTGTCTAGTACTAAGTACTAGTATCTTGTCGGGAGGAATAATATACATCCGCTTGGATTGTTAATTGATTGATTGTGGTGTTTGGGTGATACTAGTATGGATCGAAGTTCGGGTCGAGTTCGGGGCTATATAGTTCAGACTAGTAGTGGTACTGCTGTCAATAATTCATATTTATTGTAGGGGATTATTATGCTTTGCTCGTGCACTAGTAGTAAGTCATGGTTTATTAGGAGTATATATTTGTATGTCATTGTGGTTATGAGTTGTTCAAATCAAGTAGAGATGATGATATGTTGTGTCACAGAAATATATCCTACTACTAATAATAAGAGGGATATACTTACTGTCTACATTCGGATCTGTAAACGACATTCTAGTTAAAATCTCATTACCAAATTGAATTTTTTTCTATCTGATAGAACACTAAAATCTAGACTCCTGTTTGTCTACAACCCACCTGATATCTATTGTATGGGACAACTGCCAAAGAGGGGCGCGCGCGCGCACTCGGAGCCGAAGTTTGGTGCCGGGATGCTCCGCTTAAAAATCCCACCCAAAGGCGGAAATGCATCCGAGGGTTGGGTCAGTCCATCTATTACAGAGAATTGGATGCTGGTTCGGTTGAAGTTTTGGTCGTCGCTAAGCTCTTCCTCATTAAGTTGTAGGATGTGTATGTGTATGTGTGCAACGTAAGCTAGTCAGATGTCATGTGGATTGTCGATGAAGTTAATTTTGTGATGTTCTCATGTTATGTGTTGAGACTGTCCACACTTTTCCGCCAAGCTCAATGCTAAACGCGCAAGTAGCCGGTGTATCCAATCGATGGGATTGGATGGATGACAGGGGATTCGTTATTTCATTATGGTGCTTTGGAAATAACTCAGCTTGTTATCGTTCTAATTCTTTGGAAATGTACACGTGTGTATGTGTGTATCCGTGCGGAGTTAGGCAGAAGAATAATATGTCAACCATGAAAGACACAAGGTATGTATCCATGGCCAGAGTTGTTGCTTACGACCTGTCGAAATTTTTTCTCTTCTAGAAGAAAGTAGTATCCAAGGATCCGCATGCAGTGGCAAAGAAGGATTTTGTTGAAAGCAATGACAATGATTTGCTTGATGTATGGTGCAGTTTGAAAGCCGATGATAAATCTGAATGTGATTGAGGTGTCTTTATCCGTTGGGAACCATGGAACCGGAGAGGGGGCTTGTGTGTAAATGCAAAGAGACTTTATCCACCCCCCTTCCCTCTCTCGCGAACCTCTCCTCTCTTGTTTCTCTCTGAAGCTCTACAAGTGTCATGGGCGTTTGTACCAAAGAATGGCTGTTAATGGCGCAATTCCCACTGAATGGGTTCATCTAGACTAAGGGGAAAAAGCCGTCTGTTAGATAGATGGTCTCCATCCTAGGCACGGCATATCCATGGTTCTAGAACTTCGACACATCACCCTCTTAACTGTGTGACGGGAATCTCCACGACCGAGTGTTAAGTAGTGGTCCTGGGGCAACAGGCCTCGGGAAATGGTCTAGATATTACACCGTATCGAGCTGCGAGGCAAAGAGAGAGTAAGAGAGAGAGAGAAGCTGGAGCCGGGCCACTAGACTACTTACTAGACTAGCTCCAGGTACCCAATCTCCGAAAGCTGATGGGAAGGCCACAAGTGAAACGTTAGCGAGCGCCATCCTGGCTGTGAGTGGGTCGGTCAGTTGCCAAGTTTTGGTGGTTAATCACAGTTAGCGACCCTGCACTTTTACCCCTGGGAATTACTCGAAGTGGGCGGTGTTCTATTCCGACCCCCAAATTTGCGGTGGACTGGGGGGTTGGTTAAGTTGGCTGACTATGAGAGACTTATTGGAGAGAAGAGAGTAGAGGGGAGGGCCAGTATAATGACTTAATGAGGATGATGCCTGTTCGTCATTGCTCTCCGCTCATATTATTGAGTTTAATAATATCGAATAGATTATCTTACATTGACATCGGAGAGTTTTCCCCTCGGAGCTTCAGAGGTGCTCATTTCTTGGTCTTGGTATTTCTTGGACATGACGAATGTTAACCGTCTTTGCAGAGAGTGAAGAGTGATGACCACCTTTGGATCCATTGACAGGCATTGGTCTGGACTTTTGGGATGGACCAACAACGAGAGGGGAGTTGAATGTGTTGCTTCCACCAGCAGACTGCAGTAGACTAGCCAGCGTGGAATTGGAAGAAAGACCCAAGGATGGGTGGTGGGCTGTTAATCCATTGCGACCGTGAGAGACCCACCGTCAGCGTATCAACCTGGAACGGGGCGTTGATTGGCTTAGAAGCGCCCGTTCCTGAAACGGGCGGCATGCGCCTTGACCCAGAGTAGCTTAGTGGCGAGCCAGGGGCACGGGATTTTGTTCGACGGTTGGACAATCCAATCCCTGCAAAATATGCCCTCTTTTTTCCTTTGGGTCCCCAACTTTTCCAGGGGCAAAAAAAAAAAAAAAAAAAAAAAAATAATGCGACAGAAAAACACCTCGTCACTGGATAGTTAGTACAGTAAATACTCCGTAATTATATCGATTTGCCGGTAACCGTGAGGCGCCATGTCGGGCCGCCTTATGGGCTGCACTCTGTATCCTCTCTGTATCTCTCTCCCGCGTCTGCTACTCTTTCTGGATCCAACATCGTCTCAGGTCTCAGGGACGTGGAGGTCAGAGACCCTGGCCCTGGAAGATTCCTTGTCAGAAACGCCATGGGCGGGAATGTATCATCAACCAAAGGGACTGGCCAGTCAGTTTATCGTAGACGATCTTCTTTGCTATTCTTCCACCAGAAATTCCCTACTGTGTATCCCTCCCTTCCCAAGAAAACTCCGGGTACGTGCTCGTGGTTGGGACATACGTAGTTACTCAGGGGAAAACAATGGACACAAGCACCAAGGCACGGCATTCCGTGGAACTAGGCCGGTGTACACGCGAGCTGAACCGATATTAATGCGCTGGGACCGCATGGCGCTTTGGAAGAGCCATTGAATCTTTTTCTGTGCCTGTCTGTGTTCTGAAAGAAATTGGCTGGTCAAAGGATGCTCGCCTGTCTGCTCACTCGGGACAGGCCCCCATCCATGACCCATCGCGACGTCGAGATCCGTCCAGAACCCACTCGTATATGAAGCTCCCCCCGTCTGAATTAATTTGCGTTTAATTATCAGAGATCGCCGACCCCACCGGGTACACGCCGCCCGCTGGAGTCGCTCTCCTTTCCGTGATTAAGTTGCCGCCCCAACTCCAGCTGCTCGCTCTTTCTGCTCGCTCCAGACTATATTATCACTTCACGCCCACTCGGCTCCTTCACTGTTGCCTTTCGTTCTTTACCGTTGGCCCTTCCCACCGTTCCCTTCCAACCTTCATCTCACCTTTTCGCCTTTATTTTTGGTGCACTTTTTTCCACTCCTTCAAAAAAGTGTTTCCTCTTCCTGAAGGCTGTCATTCTTTTGTCCATACGTGCTGGTTATTCGTACATATACACCCACCAAACCCCCCTTCGGTCTTAACCAACTCAACTACTTCGCAGTCGATCTGCATATATCGCCAGAAAACCCTATCAACTTTTTATCTGTCATACACTGTTTCGTGCCTGTTGATCTCTTGGCCGCATAACTTCCCGGAGAAGTCGATCTCTATCGGACACAGTTGAACTGTAGTAAATCATCCTCTCGACTCTTGGCAAAAGACAATACCAACAACAACCCTCATTCAATCATGCGTTACTCTCTCGCTCTGGGTGCCCTTTGCGCCGCTGGTGCCTTGGCCAACAATGTTGACAAGCGTTCTTATGTGACCGACTGGACCATTGTCACCTTGACCACCACCATCACCGAGTACCCTACTCCCACGGTCTATGAGAACGTTGCCGCTCAAGAGGCCACTGCGGCTGCTTCCTCCTCCAGCGCTGCTGCCGCTGCCGCTGCCGCCGAATCGTCCAGCTCTGCCGCTGCTGCTGCTGCTGCTGCTGCTGCCTCCGCCTCTGCTGAGGCCTCTTCCTCCGCCGCTGCCGCTGCCGCCGCCGCTGCTGAGGCCAGCACTTCGTCTGTTGTCACTCCTGTTGTGGAGACCACCGCCGCTGCGACCACTGCTGCTGCTGTCGCCACTTCCGCTGCTGAGGAGGTTGCTACTTCCTGGACCTCCGCCTGGACTTCGGCTTGGACTTCGTCCTGGTCTTCGACTGTCGCGCCGTCCACCACCCTTGCGACTTCGACCTCGTCCAGCGCTAGCTCAACCGCCACCAGCGCTTACCAGTCCGCGGTCTTGTACAACCACAACGTCCACCGCAGCAACCACTCCGCTAGCTCCGTCGAGTGGTCTTCTGACTTGGAGTCGAGCGCCTACACCCTGGCCGCCAAGTGTGTCTATGAGCACGACACGTAAGTAGATCATGCATTCCAGAAAACCCCTGTCCCTCGCGCTAACATGAATGCGCAGTTCCATCGATGGCGGTGGCTACGGTCAGAACATTGGATATGGTGTTGAGGCTTCCGAGATTGGCGTCATGATCACCAACCTCATGTACAACGACGAGATGGGCTACTACACCGACCTGTACGGCGAGGCCGACCCTGACATGACCTACTTCGACAACTGGGGCCACTTCTCCCAGATTGTCTGGGCTGCCACCACCCACGTTGGTTGCGCTACCGTCACCTGCGACAGCCTGGGTAACGTTGATGCCTCCGAGGCCCTGCCCTTCACGGTCTGCAACTACAGCCCTGCCGGTTAGTATACCCGTATTACTCCTAAGCTTCGATAAGAGATTACTGACAGGCGTGATTTTCAGGAAACTATGAGGGAGAATATGCCACCAACGTCAAGCGCCCTCTCGGCCAAGCTGTTTACGTTGCCTCTTAGATGGCGAGAGATGATTTCGCGTGACTGCCTGGAGACCGTCGCTCTTGCACCATGTCAAGTTATAGTCGGTTTCCCTGCACCTGACGTGTAAAACGGTCAGCGTTGCCATGACGGGCGTTGGGGATATCGATGCGTTGGATTAGAGCTGCCTGTGATGGAAGTAAAACACCTGTCCCTGATCCGTCTGGTGCAAGGGCGATTCTCTGGCCACCGGCCATGTGCGAACATCGAACAATGGAGAATCTGACGATCATCAGTCCTTTTTTGAAATTTAAATCTCATTTCGCCTTCGCACTGTCTATTTGATTTTGATAATAAGCTTGTCTTCGTCCGAGACATGCCTCTGCGCTTGTTTCAGGCCCGGATCGCCAAGACGCTCTGACGGAGGTTCCATCTGGGGAAGATCTACCCTACCGCTTGCCCGAAGAACCGAAACAGGATCCACCCGACCTCGGAGCCCGTGGGCTAGAGCAGGTGCACGGCGTGACTTGCTTTTTTTTTTTTTTTCTGCTTCTCTTCACCTGTGAATATTTATTTGTTGCTTTTTATTTGATTTTCTTTTGGTTTGGGCTCAATGAGAGACAACATGACTCGTTGGCCTTAGACTAGATGATCTTCATTTCTTGTGTGATTATGATTCGGGTATATTGCAAAGCGGGTGTGTGGATATGGGGCGCCCCTGATTTAGAATCGGTACTTGCTTCGGGATGACAAAAGCCAAAATGATGAGACCTTTTTCCATGACACCCGGCCATGATTGTGTGTGGAGAGAAGTGAAGTAGGTCAAGTACTACTATAGTGTAAGTAGGTAGTAAGAATGTCAGCGGGTAGTCCTGTGTTCGTTCATGTCTACTGTTATCTCGATCTATCTCTACTATCTTCTTATCTAGTCAGCGCGGCTGTCCCGCCCCACCCACGTGACTGCAGCCTGTGGTGTCATTTTCTCGCCGTCTGAATAAGCCCAGGTGATTGCCTCTTTTGGGGGGAGGAACCGACTTTGGAGAGAGAATCTGGCAGCTTCTCCTCCCCGCAACCAGACTTTCCAACAGTCTCCCTTCGTCCGAAAACGTCACCAATTGGTCTGCTCTCGTCCAGGATTATCGCCACATGTTCCAATCCTTGTCCTAGTAGTTGCTTCTTGCTTCTAGGCGCTATCGACCAGGATTTCTCTCGTTAGAGCCCTTCCATCTCTCATTAAACTACTGTCTAATGCGGTCACTGCAGTTGACCCGTCTGTACCACCTCACCTAATTTCAGCTGGGTGGTGCTTCGCTATTGGCTGTGCCCTTCCAATCCCGAGTACGTGTCTCTAGTACTACTTAGTCCTCTAGTGCTAGTAGTCTTTCTAGCAGTTGTTCCTACTACCTTCTCTCTCTTTCTGCCTGGGATTCTCGGCTTCACATGATCGACCTCCCCCCCCCCGCAGTTCCCATCTCATCCTCTCTTTGGTACTGCCACAGGAACATCGCTCAGCACCGGATGGGGCTCTCCGCACATTCCTGACATTCTCTTCTCATCTTTCCTCTCCTTGAGGTGTCGATAAGTACTCATATTGATTCTTAAATGCTTAGATAGCTACTAGCTACAGCAGTGCGTTCGTGCACTAGAGCTCTCTCGCCTCCACCTTGTACGGCCCACCGGGCCTATCGCGCATATCTCTTGGCAGACCAGCTGGATATACTTCCCTCTGCCCCTCTAACCAGACATCATCCGTTCCCCCGATATCCCGTCTACCTGCTTGCCTTAGGCGCAGCTGCGGACGGTTAGGCCCGGCGAGCTGGTCCACTGTGGTTCAAGCCTTTCATCTAGGCGTAGCCTGGTCGTTTCCCTAGTGTTGGCAGCTAAGCTGTAAGTGTCCCTTCCTCCGTCTAACTCCCTTTATCCCGAAGGTACCTTTGGGTTCCACCCCACGGCCAGCAGTTGCTCCCCGGGTATCATTGCGAAACGATGAATTGTTTCCCCCTAAGTGGCTTCTACCTATATATGATACCATTTTCGCTGCACTAGTCTTCCATTTGTTTTTCTCGATCTCATGCCCTTCACCCTTCATGATCACATCTTCCTCGTGACGTGAGCCGTGGTCATGAGATAATCCTTCAGCCCCCTAATACTGCCCTGCCAATTTATCATAATATCTATTCACAACATCTTGCCTCCTCGTCAATCCGTCTTTTCCATAGATTCCATCATACGTCTCCAGGACGGGCTGCATTGTGCTGACACCATGTCCTACTCGTCCGTAGCAGTTCGCCACTTCACGGCCCCTAAGTCTCTAGGAAGCGCAATGGATTCTCTTCGTTCGAACTCAACCCCGGAGACCAAGATCAAGCCGTCTTCGGTCCCTACGTCAGTGAATGGAGGAACATCAGAGCCACCAAAGAAGGGCTTGACCTTTGCGAACCAGGATTCGTTACCCAAGTTACCAATTCCAGACCTTGAGCAAACATGCAAGCGATATCTTGAGTCGTTAGCCCCACTACAGACACTCCGAGAGCAGGAGGAAACCAAGGCAGCTGTGCAGGACTTTCTCAAATCAGAAGGCCCTATTCTGCAAGAGAAGCTCAAGACCTATGCCTCGTCAAAAACAAGCTATATCGAACAATTCTGTAAGTCATCAGACACTGAACTTCTCCCCATGCCTTTTTACGTCATCTTAAGCTGACTCATTCTGCTCATTGCAGGGTACGACTCTTATTTGAACTACGACAGCCGTAAGTGACAATGTGCATCAAACGTGGGGACTACTGTACTGACCTGTATGAAGCTGTTGTGCTGAACTTGAACCCATTCTTCCTATTGGAAGATGACCCAACCCCTGCGAGGAACAACCAGGTTACAAGAGCAGCTTCACTCGTTGTCTCTGCCTTGTCATTTGTTCGCGCCGTGAGGCGGGAGGAACTCCCTCCCGACACTGTTCGTGGTACGCCTCTTTGCATGTATCAGTACTCTCGCCTGTTCGGAACAGCGCGTGTCCCGACCGATAATGGATGCGTGATAAGCCAGGATCCCCATGCGAAACATATTGTTGTCTTGTGTCGGGGTCAGATTTACTGGTTCGATGTGCTGGACGACAACAGTGACCTGATCATGAATGAAAAGGATATTGCGGTTAACCTCCAGGTCATCATTGGAGATGCAGAACAGACACCCATTCATGATGCTGCGAAGGGAGCGCTTGGTGTGTTGAGCACAGAGAACCGCAAGGTCTGGTCAGGATTGAGAGATATCCTCACCAAGGATGAAGGATCGAACAACGCAGAATGTCTCAATATCGTGGACACGGCTCTGTTCGTTCTGTGCCTGGACTACACTGAACCACACAACACGTCGGAGCTTTGCGCCAATATGCTCTGCGGAACGAGCGAAGTGGTCCGAGGTGTGCAGGTCGGCACTTGTACCAACCGGTGGTATGACAAACTCCAGATCATTGTGTGTAAGAACGGCAGTGCAGGCATCAACTTCGAACATACTGGCGTAGATGGCCATACGGTACTCCGGTTTGCAAGCGACGTCTATACGGACACCATACTCCGCTTTGCTCGGACGATCAACGGCCAGGCACCGACCCTCTGGGCGACCTCCAGCCCTGATCCTGCGAAACGCGACCCTCGAAGCTTCGGCAATGTCAGCACAACACCCCGCAAGCTCGAATGGGATATGGCGCCTGAGCTAAGCATCGCTCTGCGGTTCGCCGAGTCCCACCTCTCCGATCTCTTGCAGCAACATGAGTTCCAAGTGCTCGACTTCAAAGGATATGGCAAGAACTTCATCACTTCCATGGGATTCTCCCCGGATGCATTTGTTCAGATGGCTTTCCAAGCAGCCTACTACGGGCTCTACGGCCGCATGGAGAACACCTACGAACCTGCCATGACTAAAGTTTTCTTACACGGTCGAACCGAAGCAATTCGGACGGTGACTAACGAATGCGTCGACTTTATCAAGACGTTCTGGGGAGACAACCCAGCGGAGCAAAAGGTGAGCGCGCTCCGAAAAGCGACCGAGAAGCATACCGCCATCACGAAGGACTGTTCGAAGGGTCAGGGACAAGATAGACATCTTTATGCGCTGTACTGCCTGTGGCAACGGTCATTTGATGATGGCGCGTCGTCCGCGAATAACAGCGTCATCAGCAGCTCCAACGGTTACACCAGCCCTGTGGAGACCGCGTCCATTGAATCGCCCAAGTCTTCTACTTCGTTGTCGGAAGATGGACTATCATCCAATGGCTACAGTGTACGTGGGGTGCGCACCATGCCCGCTATCTTTAGCGACGCTGGCTGGGATAAGATCAACACCACCGTGCTGTCGACCTCCAACTGTGGAAATCCATGCCTACGGCACTTTGGCTTCGGGCCCACGTCTGCAGATGGTTTCGGCATTGGCTATATAATCAAGGACGATTCGATCTCGTTCTGCGCCTCGTCTAAGCATCGACAGACTGCGCGTCTTATGTACACGCTGGAATCGTACCTGATGGAGATCCGGAAGCTGCTGCGCACGGTCAACCACCGGCCTGCCAGCCCGCGCACGAGCAGAGCACGCGAGATGGAGATGATTGCGGAGCGGCTCCAGGGCGATCACCGCCGGGGCCGGATCGTCCGGGGGGACCCGGGCCAGCTGCATCGGGGTGCCGAGACACCCACGACGGACAGCGGAGAACTGGAGGACGATGGCATGGGCGGATGTAAGTGCACCTTTGGAAGTGTGTTCCCTTGCGTTTAACGACACAGCTGCTGACCACCGAATCAGATGGGTTCTTCGATGCAGGGATGTTGCTCCACGCGCTCAAGGGGCTGAATGCAGACCGGGAGCGGGGCACCGAAAAGCCCGAGAAACGTCGGTTTGTCGGGAAGAAGTTGCGGCTGAATGATTATTGAAGCTGTCTTGGTGTGGGTGTGAGATGAGCTGGCGTGGTCTACTAAGGCCCATGCACTGTGATTAGTTTCTTATTATCCGTCACTCATTGCTCCTGATTTAGCCATGATGGGTGTTCGGCG